TACAGAATGTATTGTGAAAGCAGTTTCTCTTTGAGTTAGAGACATACTGTAGGAGAGAATCTACTGTAGCATATAACCTATGATAAACAAAAAAATCAAAATAGCAAAGTAGAGATTTCGATTGTGCTCATGAACACATACTTGAACACAAGTATTGAATCAATGAAACACTGTAGAGATTTACACTGAATCACTGTTGCACTGTTTGAGGTAGTGTAGAGAAACACAAGTTCTAGAATTTGTTCCATCCTATGAAACCACATGTCTGTACTGTTTTAACATGTCACTTGATTTTAAATGTTTTCAACAAAAGACCCATGCCTCTTTATGCCTTTGTCTGCCCTCTTTTCAGTTCTACAAATGCAAGAGTCCTTGCTCCTGACACTTGTATGCATAATCTGTTAAACCTTTTCCACTGAGGACTTAAAAGATAGCTTTGTGATACTGTTTTAGTTTCATCCTTGTTTTATGAAAGTCTTTATACAAAAAATGTTTTACAGTTTTGTGAAACATTGCAAAACAGCTAACATTTTCCTTATGAGAAAATATTGTACATGATTCACATGACTTTTACATTTTCAATAAAAAAATAAAACCTCTTTATTTGTATTTTTGCTGTTTTGTACATCTGAAATATTGCCGGGCTTGTTTCAGACAGAGGGAGAGAGAAGAGCTTATGTCATCATCCCCATCCCTGCCTGTATACTGCAAGTAATTGGGACTGAACAACATAAAGGGACTCTAAAACCCATAGACTTGATGGGGAGAAGTCCCACAGTTCAAGGGAGAGGAAGACAGCTACAGGCTGTCTCCTGAAAACCCCATTGCAAACTAGCTGTAGGAGGAATGTTTTGGCCATGGGAGTGGTTGAAGCTGCTGTTCGTAGGCAGTCAGGGATGCATCAAAAAAATTACCTTTGGGCTGACACCAAGGGTGTGTCTAGACTACATGGCTCCATCGACGGAGCCATGTAGATGAGGCAGGACGACAAAGGGAAATGAAGCTGCGATTTAAATAATCGCCACTTCATTTAAATCAAAATGGCCACTGCGCTGTGCCGATCAGCTGTTTGTCACTTACAGGATCTGCCGACAAAGGGCTCTGGGGTCGGCAGATCCCCGTCTAGACTACCCCCCTCGCGCTGTGCCGACAAACAGCTGATCAGCACAGCGCGGTGGCCATTTTTATTTAAATGAAATGGCGATTATTTAAATTGCTGCTTTATTTCCCTTGTCGTCCTGCCTCATCTACGTCGCTCCGTTGACAGAGCCATGTAGTCTAGACGTACCCCAAGGATGGAAAATTTCAGAGGCAAATGACAATATTTTCTAAATATGAGTGAAATCAAGGGTTATAATCTAAGCTTAGCTGAAACTTCAGTTTCAGCTTTTATTTCTTCAGTGGATGTAATACTTGATATATGTGCAGTCTTCACCTTGGAAGTCCTTATGTGTTCGCATAGTGGTCATGCTTTGTATTTTCTTCTCTGAATGAATTTAAAAACAAGTAATGTATATTTTGTTGATGCATTTTATTTAAATTCTTCTGTTTAAATAAAAAAATACAGATCCTTTTACCATTTTATTTTAAAAAACAGGTTGAAGGTTTTTTTAAAAGAATGTACTGGATTTGTAAGCCCAGATACGATTATTTCAAACTGTGCTGTTGCCTTAAACAATACTGCTATACCTCAGAAATCTGACTGATAGCTGGAAGCAACTTCCAGGTGTACACAGTGAGGCAGTTGTAATCTTCTACCACTAGATAGTCACAACAGAATTTACTCGGTTCTAACAATCCCTGTCTATTCACAAGATTTCCTTCCAATCTGATGAATATATGTATAGTGCTTCAATCCATGTCAACTATCCAGTTACTTCTATTTGGAGGGGCCAGCAAAAGGCCTGTTGCTAGCATGTCAACTATCCAGTTACACAATAAGTACGAAATTTACTTCTATTTGGAGGGGCCAGCAAAAGGCCTGTTGCTAATTAAATCCCATTCAAACCCTATTTGGATTAATATGATTAAGTAGGATTTAAGCAGTGCATAGGGCTTGTACTAATCTTCTATACACGAGGGAATTTCACCCCCAGTGCATACTAGTAAAGCACAGCCCTGGCCAAAAGTACAGTAATTACCACTTATTCCACCTTTCTGACAGGTAGAGTACTTCTGGAATTTTAGTTGCAGCTGCTCTGGGGGAGCATTTCCATTTTCTTTTATCCCCAGTGAGTACAAGGGAAGCAGTGTCCTTTCGGTTATTTCTGTGCAAAAGGATTCTTGGTCAAAAGAAAAGTAAATTCAACATTTAATGTAAAGTAGCAAATTAGAGCTAAAATTTTTAAAAAAACTAACAAACGCTGGGATCCGCATCTGAGCAACCTAGAAAAATCTATGTCTGGGAGATATGGCAGAGGATTTATGTGCTCCTGAAAGATGGAAGGGGCTGTCAATGAAGGCATTTAACAGCACTAATCACCACACTCTTGTGTGAAATAGAGCAACATAGCAGTGTACAACTATTAAACTAAATCAATAACTTCATGAATTTCACAATCTCTAATCTAGCAGTTTATTCTATAGCATTCCATGGCTTCCATATAATGCCCTTCAATGATGCAAAGAAAAAGGCAAGGTGGATATGCTAGAGCACTCTTTGGAGTACCATGAAAGGAGACATAAGCCCTTTCTCTTCAAGGAGTTAGTGGCATGAGAATCCAGACCCCAAGAAATGTCAAGTGCTACTTTTAGGGCTGCACTGACCCCATTCTGAAGAACTGCATTCTGCTAAAACCACACTAGAAGCTGAGTAGAGGAATAATAAATGATTCAGTCACGTGTTGTATTTAATCATTCATCACAACCAACCATGCTGTCCTGCGGGGAGGCAGCAACACCTCTTTCCTGTGCAACTTCACAGAGGTATTTGAAAAATTTAGTCAAACCACTTTTCAGTGCCATTTTGAAGTGCAATTTTGCTCAGAGTAGTAATTGCAGTACAGCCTGAGCTGCTCTACAAGTCAGATTATTCAAATTGTACCTAGGGTTGCCAGGTGTCCAGTATTTAAGTCAGATTATTCAAATTGTACGTAGGTTTGCCAGGTATCCAGTATTGAACCGGACAGTCCAGTATTTTCACCTCCTGTCTGGTAAAAAAATTCAGAAAATACCGGACACCTAAAATGTCCAGTATTTTCTGATCTCTTCCCAGCCAGGAGGCAGAGGAAGGCAAGATTTTAGGGCCAAAAAGGGGTCCCCTCCTTTTTTTGTTCAGTATTTTTTCAGAAACCATCTGGCAACCCTAATTGTACCTCCTTTTTTTGTTCGGTATTTTTTCAGAAACCATCTGGCAACCCTAATTGTACCCTCACAGCAATGAAATTGAGGCTCTGTTTAGCTATTTATATAGGTCCCAATCCTGCAAGTGACTAATTGCCCTACCAGTGCTTAGTTAAGGGGAGCTGAGGATGCTCTCATGCCTAAAATTAAGCACTAACTTGAGTTAAATTGAAGTTAATAGCACTAGTCATAGGCTTAACATTATGCGCAGTTACATACAAAAGCAGGGCCTATAAGAGTAAAATTATTCAGGCAGAAAGAAACTATGTTACTTGACTTACAACCAATCATAATCAAGCAATATTGCTCCACTACTGCCCACTACAGAATTAAAAAGTTCAGAAAATGTGATCAAATAAATAAATGTTGGAGGAAATCATAGGCACTCAATGAGCAAAAAGAAGGTGAAACATCTTAATTCTTTGTTACAGCACTCAATGAGCAAAAAGGTGAAACATCTTAATTCTTTGTTACAAATTATTCATTTGATACCAGTAGCCCTGCATTATTAAAAGTGAAAAATTGTTGCTATTACAACTGTTTTCCTTTTTTCTGTTTCATTGATCGTTGAGAATGAGAATTAATTAGTAAGTATAACTTTTATGCTTTAACACAATTCTGCAAAGTCCTTGTAATCACCACAAATGTGTAACCCAAAATAGTTTTCATAAATGTTTTTTTTTTTTTAAAAAAAGAGTGTGAAGGAGCAAATAAATGGCTACCAGGCACAGCACGGATTAAAGAAAACCTGTGGATTCAGCTAGCCCAACAGCCAATGCCTGGCTTGGAGAGGGGAGAAAAGAAAGGAGCCTAGCTCAATCAGGAGCTGTCTGATGAAGAAGCAGGTGCTCTCCCTGTGCCTGCCAGAAGGCACATACTCGACCTGCCTGCCAACGTAGCCACTGGAGTCTTCCCCTGTCAAGGGGAGTCTGCAAACAAGCCCCAATTGTGGAGAAATTGGACTAGCAGGGTCATTCCCAGACAAAATGATTTACATACAGAGCAACTCAGGAGAGCTGGTTCTGACCACACATAGCTGGGAGCAGGATCTATCTTCCTTGTTTATGGGTGGGAGCAACCCAGACTGTGGGTCAGGACCCGAGGGAAAAGGAGGGATCAGATCCCCTATAGCCCCTAACCAACAATCTGCTTGGCCACAGGAGCCGCTATCAGAAAGAGATGAAGGTATTTCTTTTTAAGTGTTATTGTTGAAAAAATAAAAAAGTTTTGCATCTTGTCCTTCCATTTTGGCAAGAACATCTGAAATAAAATCCAAGAATTAGAAATGTGAATTTGAATCAAAACAAAGGGTGAAAGCGTGGTATTTTTTAATAACCTCTACTGGTTATGGTTGTCCTTGCTCAGTCAAAATCCAAGTGACTTAATAAAATATGACATACTGAAATAAAGTCAAACTCTGAAATACAATACAAACATCACAGATACAATAATGAAAATTAAGTGCTTGATTTTATACTGTTAAGTCAATGAGAGTTTTCCACTTACTTGAAGAAAGATCAAGCTCCTAAGGAACGCTTGCTGTATCAATAGATGAAAAAAAAATCTAATATTCCCCATCTTAAGGAATAACTAACAGATGAAATAGCTCTTTGATCTGAGAATGCGTATGTTACTGTTTTAACATCAAACTACTGTGCTGAACTGCATGACAAAATCAAATGAGTTAGTATCCCTGGAGAAAATTGCCAAAGGACTTGCGCCATCCCTTTGTGGTATGAACTGCCTCTAATTAGCTGAGAAGGAAATACTGTAAGCCTGAGATCTTTGGCAGGTCATTTAAGGAAGTGCTGGTATGCATTTAAGTGTCTCATGCATCTAGTCACTGATACTCTGTTAGTTTTAATGAGCACATATACATCTATCAAAATGGACCTAGACCTTGAAAACTTAAGCTAGGCACTTAAGAAAGCATGTCTTGCCCACTATGCTGCTTCTAAATGATTTTTTATCATTGGTAGATGATATAAGTGAGCCTGACACCAGACAGGGGTTAGGTACAGTTTCAGACAACTGCAGGATCTTTTTTCACATCATTAATAATAGAAGGGGCATGCAGCAGTCAGGAAGCAGGAGACCAGGCTGTTTTTATTATTGCTGAACAAGAGGGGAACATGGACTTCTCTGTTTTGCCAAACAACAACCACCCTGACAAATTCCTTCAACTAGAAGTGAAGTCTTTAATGAAAAACTCTGCCTTTCTACAAGCCAGCCTAGCAAAATTTCCAGAAGCAGCTTTTCCAGGAGCACAACAATGGCACAACAAAGTCTATTTACAGGTAAGGGCTAAAGACCTGAATGTTTGATTTGTTCCCCTATTATTCCACACACATTTTGTGGTTCAGAAACAAATGAAATTTGGGGTTGAGTCTTTTGCTGCGGTTGCCAATATATGTCGCTGATACTGCACCACTGATGTCAGTGAAAGTTTTGCCACTGACTTCAGTGGGAGAGGAATCAGGCTGTATGAGAACAATTGTCCTGATACATGTACTCAAACCCTTCCTCTTTTATATAGCTCTACACCGGTTAGTACTTGCACTAACCTGCTGCCTCCTAGCTATGGTATTTTTTAGCATTTCCTGGTATGTGCATGAATTACATTGTGCAGGTATGAGGCAATCCATATGCAGAGCCCCTTCTTTCAGAGGAAACATCCAAGCCTACTTTTATTAAACAAGGCTAGCTGTCATGGACCCATCACTGAATACTTTTAAAAGGATTAAATCTGTTGAAAATATTTTCTCTGAAAATGGCATATTCCTCATAATCCCCCTGGAGAGAATTCTCCTGAAACTCATTCCAGTACCAGGATGGCCATCTCACAGGGAAACTACTCAAGTCATCACTTTCCACTGAAAGCAAATTAGAGTGTTGTTTTCCAAAACGTTAACCCTAAAGCACAAACTCTCCTTTTCATCATGTTCATTCATAGATCCAAGTAGTTCAGCTAAAGCACTGAAAGCACAGTGCACATTTTTATTTCTCTTTTCTGCCAATGAGCAAATAAAAAGGAACTAAACACCTGATGCATTCCAGACTTCAAAATAAGCATGATAGCACAGTGCAGAGGCAATGGTTTATGATAAACAGGCTAATCGATGGGTAAGTTAGGGCGTGTCTACACAGCACCCTTACTTTGAACTAGCTTATTTTGAAATCTGGCACTGTTTACACAGTGTGAAATTTTGAAATAAAGCGCTATTCCAACAAATCTCTTAACCCTCATGGAATAAGGGCTACAGGGACGCCAGAATAGCATTTCCATTATTTTGAAATCTATTTCAAAATAACGGACACGTTTAAAGACATGGAATTGCTATTTCAGGATACTTGCGGTATCCCAAAATAGCGCCGCTGTCTAGACGTAGCCTTAGTTAATTCAGAAAAAGGAGGGGTGTGTTTCAGTTATGAACAGGTGGCTGTGATTACAGACTCCTAAAGTCATTAAACATTGAGTGTAGCTGAAATTCCCAGTCCAAAAAAAAATCATTTTCTTTGAAGAAAAGTTGTTATTCAGGCCTCCCTGAGTAAAGTGACTGTTCAGGCACGTATCTGTGTGCTTCTTAGGATGTTTATCATGAGATCATTCAAACTGAAGCCACGTAAGTGCCTATGTGTCTCCTTTAGTGTTTTAATTTATTCCGTTATTTAAGGTGGCCTGCTAAAAGTAAATTTTATTTCAAAGCAAAAGGTTTTGGTTTTTTTCCACTTTCTAGTTCAGTGTCTGGCAGAGTGACTATTCATTACCTCTTATTGTATTGTTTGTCATATAGCTAGTAACTAAAATAATTTTGGTAATTTCAGCGCCCCATGTACCAACTGTGATATATCTCAGTAGGTCTGGCTCAGTCCCCTGTAGTTCTCTTCTGTTCTCTAGGATCAGTGACAACTGTAACCAGTGAACAGCCAGTATCCTTCAAGCAGAGTATTATGTATCAGATCAAAACCATTTCAGAGATAACATATTTAAGGCAATAAGCCAGCCCATACTAATGCTTGTTTTTCCCTAAGGCAACTGCCTTAGCAGAGTCTCTCCCTATGCCAGCCTGTCCCCCTGGATAACTTTTAGTGAGTAACCCATCCTCTTCTTCCTTGAGAAGCTTTTTCATAAATCTTTAGTGTTCTTTTGATCTCAAGGCTCCCAGCTCTGGCAAAATAACACTTGCAATTTGTTGGCTACTGTCATCTTGAAGCTAACTGCAGGACTCATTGTCTTCCAAGTGTTTATTTGAGGTTGCTTACCTAGAGAGCCATGGCGTTCCTTTCCTGTTTGTTCTTCCCACAGCAAACCTCTCCCCCTCCTTTAAGTTAGGTTGATACATTCATGCTGGGAATGCTAATAAACTACAATAGCTGTACAGTAACTTGACTTCAGTGACAAGGTCACTTGCAAATACTCAAGACAGACAAGATGGATGAGGTAATCTTTTATTGGACAAACTTCTATTGCTGAGAGACACAGGCTGAGAGAGAATTTTGTCCAATAAAAGATATTACTTCACCCACCTTGCCTCTAAGAGCCTGGGACTATCACAGGGCTGGAGGGGGGAGGGGGGAGTATCCATGAAATGTTAATAGATTGAAAAGGAGTCTGTATGCTCAGAAAGGTTGGGAACCACTGCTCTAAGGTGTATAATGAATTCATTGCTTTGCACAGAATTAACTCATGCTAATTATTTGCTAATATAATTGTTGCCCTGCCATCTACTCTCATTATTACTGTGGAGTTCGTGATGAAGCAATTCTTGGCAAGCTGTGGAGTACTTGAAATTCCCTGGACCTCTGTCAGTTTGATTTTAGGCCTAGCTAGGTACAGACAGCCCTTGCCTCTTTCATTAATTATCTCTTCCTGCCAATTGACAAAGACCAAGTGCACACACTGACACTTTCACATTTACCACCTGCTTTTCTGTCCATTGATCATGAGGCTTTTTTGGCATAGTTGTGGACACTGACAAGGATAGATGAAGTGGTGCTTTAATTGCTCCGTTCCTTCCTCTTGAGAGGGCCCAGATGGTATAATGCTGCATAATTGTTATTCTGTCCCCAGGGTTCGTTCATGTGAGGTGCTGCCAATGTTCCATTCTGTCACCCTACCTTTTCGGTTTGTATTTGAGGCCACAAGAGGAGATGCTGAACTGATCTGGGCTGCATTGTCACTGATATGTTGATGACACTCAGTACTACATCTGTTTTTCATTGGACTCCGCCAGGGAAGTCTCTCAGCACTCCAATGTTTAGCCAAGATTGGGGCCAGGATTAGGACTAGCTGGCTGAAGTTCAATTCAGACAAAATGAAGGTGATGCTGGTAGTCTGTGTGTAACAGCTTTGTAACAGAGATGGAGAAACTGACATCTGGCCCCTTATTAGGTACAGTTTCTTCACATTTTCTTAGCGTAGGTTGTATTCTATGAGCTTCTTGAATACCCAGATAGTCAAAGTGCAGCTGTAGTCAAGAGCATTCTGTAGTCACCTATGATTGGCACAAAGATTGCAAGCTTCCCTCAAAGTAGGAAACTTTGTCGCGGTTATTATCACCTCTGTCACCTCTGGACTGCATTTCTGTAATGTTGTCTACATGGGGCAATCAACAAATAAGATTTTCCTCCACAGAGGAAACTCATGTAAGTTATGGCCCAGTCCAATCCCACCATAGGCGTAAAAGTTAAGGTCAGCCATGCCATAGAAATCAGAGGGCCTCAGCAAGCTCAGGGGAAGGAGGTAACATGGAAGCAAAGACTGTTAACTAAATATTATTATAATTTAGTCAAGTGACCAACTATGTGAGATCCTGATGTAAAAACATCTGTTAAAGGGTGATATATAGAGAGCAAACAGAATTTGACTTACAATATGCACAATCACCTATTATGTAGAAATCCCTCTAGGCCCTACTTTTAGTAAAATGGGCTTGAGACCAAGTTTCTACTTTAATTCATGATTTCCTGGTTTTGATATGTAATGATCTTTACTTTCATACATTTTTTTCATGGTAGGAATAGACAAAAACATGCAGAAACTGTTCAAAATGTCCTAATGATTTATAAATGAGAACTAAAATTACCTATCATGCAATGTGATAAAACATTTCCTAAATAAATAGATCACATTGTAGATTATACCATGAAATAATACAATTACTAGATTGGATTAGAAACTTCATGACCACTATCTCTATACCAGATCTCTGCCCTACTTTGAGGTGGGCAAAGTATTCACAATGAAAAATTGGACAAAGACTATTACTATTTATGTTGGCAAGTTATCTGTTAGGAAAATACTTCAAGGTTTGCAGATTTGTTCAATGAATATTAGGTGAATGCATTTAAGACTGTGGCTTTCTCATCAATTCTTTGCTATAATGGTGGCTATATATTCATTGATCCCAATTCACTCTTGTGTGCAGAGACACCTAAGTCCTATGCTCTTATTTCTGTTTTAATTCCCATCAATTCTGAATCCACAAAGAAATGGCTTTTCAAGATTGCTTCCCAAGCGCATATATATATATATATAATGTATATAATCTATAGTTGTAGAATTGAACATCTGTACCAGGATTCACAATGCTTTTGTGAACATTCTTATGAACACAATTTGATTAGAATGAAAGTTTGCAAAGTTCATAGAAGAGGTTATGAGTGAATATTTGTAATATTTTGTATATATTTACCCAGCGCCAATCCCCCTCCTCCTCCTCCTATTTCTCTGCTTCTTGGGTGCATAATCTTTTTTGCAGGATGCCTGCTAGTTCCCTGTTTTATTATCCTTTAAACCTAAACTACTACTTCTATGAGGTAGCATCTTTCTTTCCTAGTCTCTGTTTTAAGGGCTGCATCTATTTCCAACTCTCCAAGGGTATGTCTATACTTGCAGCCTAATTCAAACTAGGGATGCAAATGTAGGCATTTGAAATTGCAAATCAAGCCCAGGATTTAAATATCCTGCACTTGATTTGCATGTTCCCAGTCGGGCGCCATTTTTTTTTAAATGTACAAGCCCGGACTAACTGCCCACGGCTACACGCGGCAGGGAAACAGGCGTTTGAAACAAAGCCCTATTTCTACCTGTTAAACCTCATTGGTGCCTGGCCAGGAACATGCAAATCAAGTGCAGGATATTTAAATCCTGGGCTTGATTTGCAATTTCAAATGCCTACATTTGCATCCCTAGTTTGAATTAGGCTGCAAGCGTAGACATACCCAAGATAATACACTCTGGCTTGACAGAAATTGAACCAATTATCCTATCCTCATTTGGAAATATTTTTCATTG